GGTCAGTAAGAAATGAAGAAGAAAATACCTATCAGCAAATAAAATCAAAGAATATTCTCTGGGACATGACCCACCTTTGATTCATCTCACCCAATTCACCTACTGTTTTTGTTCATATTTTCACCTTATCAACTCCTGGGTTATTGCAACCACCTCCAAAATTCCTGTTCTTCATTTTCCTTAATCAAAATTCTACGTGACACTCAAACTTCTTTAAAATACACCCGTTGTTCACTGTTTCTTCCATGAGAATGCCCCCTCCCCCACTGAGAAGTTCCATTTCAAATGTTATTTCCTTATTTAAGAGCTCCTTGCTTCTCTAGCTGAAATCCACTCCTCCATACTCCCAAAAATCTTTATCATTTTCTCTCCATGAAATGTAACCCTTTATAACTTGATATTTAGATGTTTACCTATGTATTTTCAGGAAAATGACAATAAGTAAATCTGAAGGAATCCGAGGATGAAATTGGGAACCCAACTAATATAAAGGCCTTTTGGAACAGCCTTATTTTTGGCAGTGGTTCTCAAACTTGTCATGTTGGGAACAACTGGGTACCCAGTACCTGGGCCCTACCCCAGAGGTCTTGGGTACAGTCAGGGCACTGAGCATTTTAAAAACTCTCCAGGAGGTTCTGATGTGTAACCAAAGCTGACAAGTACTGGTCTATGGAGGAATATAAATAGCTGAGATTAATATAAGAATTTTTAAATAGAAGTAAAGAGCTGGTGGATATCAAGAGAGACAACTCAGGGTAGGTGATTGATACTATAGAAAAAAAGTGTGGAAAACAAGGAATTTGGTAGCACTTGGTACACAGAATAAGACTGAAATGTCTTGCAACTGGTTCTAGGCTGAAGCTGGAGAAGATGAGATGGGATGGGAAAGGATGGTTAGGGGCAACTCTGCTTGGAAACAGAACAAAGAGCAAGTGGTAGGAAGTAAGGTCAAGTGGATTCAGAGAAGGAATGCTGAAGAAGTCGCCGTTAAGTTGGGAAGTCTTTAGAACCGACAGAACTTATGGGGCAGCAATGAAAGTGGAAGTGTTAGTCACTCAGTCTTATCTGACTCTCTGTGACCTCATGGACTGTAGCTCACCAGACTCCTCTATTTGCGGAATTCTCCAGGCAAGAATACTGGAGTGGGTAGCCATTGCCTTCTCCAGAGGATCTTCCCAATCCAGGGATAGAACCAGGGTCTCCTGCATTGCAGGCAGATTCTTTACCATCTGAGGCACCAAAACAGCAGCAATAGTGCTGCTGAATTAGGAGATAAATGTTACTGATGTAGGAATGTTCCCAAAACAGCTACCCTGGTCGTCAACAATGAGAAAATTTCCTACCAGCAGCTGAAATCAAAGAAAACATCTCAGAGGCCTGACAAAAATGACAGCATAATTGTAAAGACAGATGTTATAAGCTGTGGTGCTGCTATTAAAAAAAAAATATAAAAGGGACATTTTGGTTGTGAGGTTATGATATTTGAGCTTAGTATATACATTAAGGAGATCAAACCAGTCAATCCTAAAGACAATCAGTTCTAAATATTCATTGGAAGACTGATGCTGAAGCTCCAATACTTTGGCTACTGGATGTGAAGAGCTGACTCATTAGAAAAGACCCTGATGCTGGGAAAGATTGAAGGCAGGAGGAGAAAGGGATGACAGAGGGTGAGATGGTTGGATGGCATCACTGACTCCATGGACACTGGGTATGAGCAAGCTCTGGGAGATAGTGAAGAACAGGGAAGTCTGGTGGGCCTCAGTCCATTGGGTCACAAAGAGTTGGACACGACTGAGCAACTAAACAACAACAAATATACGCTGAAGTATTACAAAGTGCACAAATGTTGTAGAGTATAAAGTGTACATACAACTCTAATACCCGTGCCCAGGGACCAGATCATGTCTCTAACTTAAAGTACATTACTCAAGCCCTCTTCTCCCCCCAAAATTCTAACAGTTTAGAAAACTAGGTATGCATATTTCTGTATTAATAATTATAATAACCCATAATCCTTATTTTTCATTACTAAGCACTAAACATTAAAAAAAAAAGAAGTATAAAAACCAAACAAATTCTAAACTATAGAAACTAGTGCTCATGGTAAATGATGGAGCAGAAACTTCACAGTATCAATGTGTGAAGGCTTCCTCTTTAATGCTTCTTCAAACTCTGATCCTTTCTCCCACTTGTTCATGCAAGCTGCTTCAAAAACTAGTGAGTTGTGTGATAGAACACTTTCATGTGTTTAATGTTCAGTTCAATCACTCAGTCGTGTCCGACTCTTTGCGACCCCATGAACCGCAGCACGCCAGGCCTCCCCATCCATCACCAACTCCTGGAGTTCACCCAAACTCATGTGCATCGAGTCGGTGATGCCATCCAGCCATCTCATCCTCTGTCATCCCCTTCTCCTCCTACCCCCAATCCCTCCCAGCATCAGGGTCTTTTCCAATGAGTCAACACTTCACATGAGGTGGCCAAAGTACTGGAGTTTCAGCTTCAGCATCGGTCCTTCCAATGAACACCCAGGACTGATCTCCTTTAGGATGGACTGGTTGGATCTCCTTGTAGTCCAAGGGACTCTCAAGAGTCTTCTCCAACACCGCAGTTCCAAAAGCATCAATTCTTCGGCGCTCAGCTTTCTTCACAGTCCAGCTCTCACATCCAGACATGACCACTGGAAAAACCATAGCCTTGACTAGATGGGACCTTTGTTGACAAAGTAATGTCTCTGCTTTTTAATATGCTATCTAGGTTGGTCATAACTTTCCTTCCCAGGAGTAAGCGTCTTTTAATTTCATGGCTGCAATCACCATCTGCAGTGATTTTGGAACCCCCAAAAAATAAAGTCTGACATTGTTTCCATTGTTTCCCCATCTATTTCCCATGAAGTGATACTATGCTTAAATACCATCAGAAATGCCAGATCCTGGCTCACTAAATCCTTTGAAATACATTACTGTAAATATTATGACTGACCAACATCTCTCTAAAGGATGACTAGAGTAAATCTATAGCCAAGAAACAGGGATGCATACTATAAACATACTGTGCCTTTTAATATGAGGCAATACTTATGATTTACTGTATAGGGAAACTCACCTGTAGCTTCAGTAAATAAGAGGTCAAAAGTGCTTTAGAATCATTTTCATGTCAGTAAACATTAAGTCCAATTCATCCCTGTAATAAACAAGTGTCATTTTTATAAGGAATGTCAAACCCCCTACCTAGTGAGTTGAGCATGGGGAATCAATTACCAGAGACATACAAAAATATATACAAAGGAGAAATCCAAGAGAAATTCATATGACACTGGTATTAGGGGCAAAATAATTCATATTATGTTCCCATGCCATCATGGTAAAATACATTTGCATCACTAGGTGTAAGAGAAAATGGTATAGCCTAAGGAATCGGTATAAAAAACTATTACAATGGATAATACCTGACATTTGACACAGCAGTGCTATTTCCAGGTTCTGGTTATTAAACCCAGAGTAAAAGTGGTTTATTGATCTGTTTACAGCATTCTAAAGACAAGGATTAAAACTGCTGTTTTGTTCTGACATATGAAACAGTTAGGCAAAGAAGTCAGGCTGCTGCCTGCCGCCTGCTAGGCACTAAAGCAATCATAGCTCCTGAGTTCCCTGATGGGACCTTTTCCTTCTCTGTTTCAAACAGACTCTATCTTCTAATCAACATCCCTTGAAAATTCTCAAATCAAGATCATAAGCACACTGTGTTCAATGTTTGATGTCCACATTAACAAAGAAATGCTTGATTATAACAGCATATTCATGCCAATTTCTCACACATGAAGGTAAGTCAGATCTAAGATGGACAATAATGAATAAAGTGGAGGCAAAGCAGAGAAAGGAGAAAATGTGTGTAGTGGAAAGACGGATAGGACAATTATATCAGTGTGAAGAGCAAATAAAAATTCCTCAGGTGTTAGGTGAACATGGAACACACACTCCACATGAATTTGCCAAGAGTACACAGAATGGTAATAACCTGAGAACCCTGGGTCTGGGGACTGCCATCACCTGGCCATCTGCCTAGTTTTTTTCTGTGTCTCAGTTCTCCCTGGTCTTAGAGGAATGTACTTCTTCCTTTAAACAGTCTTCCTTGGCATTGCAGTTAGAATCAACTACTGCCTTCATGCCTGGCTGTGCATTCCGATATTGATAGCACACAGCAGCTCACAAAATTCCTCTTAATAGAGCTCTCTCTAGGGTTCTACAAGAATTCAAATCCCCGTGTCAGCCTTGGAGAGTTCAAAGCTCTTCTGCAAAATTATCCATGCTAAATTGTGATACTAAATCCTGCCTGGGCTAGAAATTAAACTTTTGTTTTATCAAAGTGATTTGGGATGAAAATTTTCAGGATTAAGTTCCCATTATGTTGTGTGATTTGGATAAACATTCCAGTTTTTCAGATTAACACATAATAATTACATTATTTAAAAATAATTATTATTCATTTACTCAAATATTTGAGTCAGACATTGTGCTGGATCCTGGGAATACAGAGTGAACAAAACTAACAATCCCAGCAAGTCATAATAACTTCTACATTTTAGTGCTTATCTACAAAATAATCACAGTGTTTTATTTAATTGCAAAAAATTAACTAGGGAGTGGGGTAGGGCATAAGTGAAACAAATACACTATAACTAACCACAGGACTTCTTTAAGTCTTTCTATACATTATGAACATGTAACAATTATGATTAGCAATACTCCATGCTGAAACATCTGCTATTCCCTTAAAGAGTGCTGGTATTTTAACTCTAAAATTCCTATCACCGTATATACACAGATCACGTAAAATGTACTAATGGCTTGAACAGAATTATGTGTCAAAACACTACAATCCCATACAGCAAAAATTTCACGCCAAGAATGAAGAGAACACAGCACAATGATTTTCAAGTTAGCATATTGTACTAAAAATATCAAAAGATAAATTTTATTCTCCCTAGCTTATAAAAGTTCATTTATGTTTTTCAAATTTCATTGATGGTTTCTGTATTATAAGGAACATATAAATATATCAACAATTTTCCTACCAAAATAAAGCCCAATATACATGCAAAAAAAATTCAGGAATAAATTTTGTCCTTGGTTGGGAATTCCTTGGTAGTCCCAAGGTTAGGACTTAGTATTTTCACTGTGGTGGCCCGAGTTCAATCTCTGCTCAGGTAACTAAGATCCTGCAAGCCACGTGGGGTGACCAAAAAAAAAAAAAAAATTCATGTGCACATAGAAATAAATGTAAATATTCACAGAAGCAACATACACTGACAAAAAAATTACATTTAGTAAGGGTGAGAAACAGGAAAAACAAAAAAACACTGCTAGGACTTCTCTTTTTTCTGAGAATTGACAAATGCAGAAAATTACCAAAGTAACAACAACAAGAAAAAAGACACGAAAATCACACTTTGGACAAACTGCTTGTCAGTATTTAGGACCTGATTTCACAAACAGGTTTCATTCAGTTCCTCGAAGGCCATGCTGTCAAGGCGGAGCATGGATGTCCGCTGCTACTGAATTAGACTGGCCAGCGTCCTGAGAAGGGAGGGGCTCCTCCTCCTCCACGCGCGTCACTTTATCTGACCTTCCTGAAGGAGGAAGCTCATTATTTGTGCCCTCTTCACTAGATGACAGGATATCAGCCAATTCGTTGGACATTAGGGCTTGCAAGGACCTTGTTCCATCTTCAACATCCACCTGAATCCCCAAAGCTTTAAGAATATCACATTTGCACATGGGGCATGTCCCATGGGCTACGATCCAAGGGTCAATGCAATTCTTGTGGAAAAAATGTTTACAGGTCAGAATACGAATTGTATCGTTAGGCTTATAGAGTTCAAAGCAAACTACGCAGCTATCTCCACTGGCGCTTACTTCCTCGTCCCCCTCTTTCAGTACCCGAACCTGAAGCTGGCCAAATGCTTTCTTGAGATCATTTGTTAACCGCTGCCACCTCCGGTTCTGAATCCTTGCTACCCAAACTCTTCGAATATGATAAAAGATGAAATACACTAATGTAGCGGTTGTGACAATCACAAAAGAGACAAAATAGTGATTCATCCAGATGATGTGTTTTCTTCCCACCTCGATCATGACGGTCACGTGAACGCCCTTCTGAATTAAATGCAAAATCTCCATGCCTTTTAAGTTACCAATCATCACCACAACAATGTCTTCAAATACCTGATGAGACATGGGAAAGACCTGATTGCCAGTTCCTGGGAAGTTATAGATGATTACTCCAATGGCTCCATTCTCCACCGCCACCTTGATCTTCTGGGTGAAGGTACAGCTTCCCCGTTCAACAAGGGCGAGCCATGTCTGCGAGTTCTTCAATTTCCTGAAACTGGTATTGGGGCTGCAGGCAGTTTGTGTTTTTCCCTCTGGAGGCACGATGACTCCCGCCACTCTCTTCAAAGTGGAGCTTCTTCCAAACACGCCAGTCTCCCCCAACTCTGACAACATGCGATTCCCAACATGAAATGATATGTTCATGTAAGCAGTCCAAACGGCACTGGCTCTGCAACAGTGCTGGCTAAGCAGCCAAAGGAAGCTGAATTTCATGAGCCAGGAAGAGGCAGCATTGTTTCTCTGAGTGCCAACCTTGAGTAGATGCATCTCTCTCTCTCTGCTTTAGTGACTGAAGAACCAACCCAACAAAAAGATGTGGTTTCCACATCTGTTGATGATCAATGTAAACTATTAAAATGGAAAATACCTTCTGGGTGAAAACAAGTTCCACTGTCTTCCAGCATGTTTTTGTAAGAAATTCTTAAAGAAGTTTTATGAGTTTTGGATTTTTTTTTTTAAAGAGAGAGAAAGAGGAAAACTTTAGATTGAAAAAAAAAAAAATCCCAGTCTCACTACTGTAACTCTAGATACTGTTTACTGTTGGGTGATACGATTATGACATAAAAGACAACACAGCCAATTAGGTAAGAGCTTAGAGCATGCTGTATATTTATTGGTTGAATGCTTTGAATGCTGCTATGGGTAATTTCAATGTTACAGGATAGATTCAGCCCTTGAGTTACATGTCATGTTACCAGGTATCATATTAAACTAAAAAATATAAAAATTATATAATGCATGTATTTTAAAACCTGAATACACATGCAAGAAAAACCATACAATTAATACTTTCCTTCACAGTTAGTGAAGTAAATATCTGTTACAAAATGCCAAGTTTTAACCATGAATGCTAATTAAAAATTAGCACTACACCTAGATATGGGGTAGAAGTGGTGAATAACACTGTTTTTAACTCACGTTTTCACTATACAATATATTTTTTTAATCTAGCATGTAAAATTTTGAACTTTATTTAACAAAGCTTGGTCAGAAGTTTGTTGGATCCATTTGGTTTTAATTTTTAAAAGCAGGGTATCCCATTCAATTTCTTCAGTCTTACTACCCTCACTTTTGGCAGCACTAAAGACAGAAAAGACCAATGTCATTTCTCTGCAGAACTTGACATCTGTTAGTAGCTTAACAACATTTTGAGGAAAGAGGAGGACAAGTGTAGGGGAAAAGATTAAATATAGCAATATTAATTTACCACAGTTTACTCTGAACAAAAATGCAGCTATAGATTTTAGAAAGACAAACTTTGAGGTCCTCACTTAAATTTAACCACTCACATCAGTGACTGTTAAAGGTCATAGAATCTTTTAACAAAATGTTTGCCTAAATCAGCAAACATCCTTGGTGCAAGACCCCACATACACTGTTAGTTCTACTTACTACCCTCACTTTTGGCAGCACTAAAGACAGAAAAGACCAATGTCATTTCTCTGCAGAACTTGACATCTGTTAGTAGCTTAACAACATTTTGAGGAAAGAGGAGGACAAGTGTAGGGGAAAAGATTAAATATAGCAATATTAATTTACCACAGTTTACTCTGAACAAAAATGCAGCTATAGATTTTAGAAAGACAAACTTTGAGGTCCTCACTTAAATTTAACCACTGACATCAGTGACTGTTAAAGGTCATAGAATCTTTTAACAAAATGTTTGCCTAAATCAGCAAACATCCTTGGTGCAAGACCCCACATACACTGTTAGTTCTGCCTGTATTTTTGCTACACTTAGGCCAAAAGCACAATATAACTTCAAAGCCAAAAGAATGACATGTGAACTAACAGGCATGGGCACTCACTGGAACTACCATACACTTTCTTGGGAGAATTGCCCAGCGGTTCTTATTTACCAGCTAGGAAGCTAAAGCCAAGAACTTTGACCTTGTACATAATGTCTCTGACCTCTATGCACAGGATATTAAGAGATACTTCAGGTTCTGTCTTGCCAGAACTACAGAGGCTAGTGTATTCTTCTGAAATATCAAATTAGCATCATGACAATGTGAAGTAGGAAAGACAAAGGAAAGAAGATTTCTATGGGCCCATTAAAAAGTAGCATTAAAAGAAAAACACTGATGTGACACCTTCAGCTCACAGTGGTCCGTGTTCTTTCCCAAAGGCTGTTAATCTGATTTCCACACACACACTCTTCAAAACAGACAGTGAGGTACAGAGTGTGTTGACTCACAAAGTGCCACTTGAGTTGGACATCAATGCTTTTGCATATTATCCAGATTTTCATCAAAGCAACAAAACCCACATCTTTAGGCCTCTTACTGTTACACAGGTATCTACCAGAAAAAAAAAAAAAAGGTAAGAGATACAATTTTGAAAAGCAACTGAACAAAATTTTACTTCTGCTGTAGGTCTATATGTTCAAAATGTCCCAAATAAAGACATACTACCATTTAGTATTTCCTAGAGTCAATTCTAGAAGGAAAACCTACAACCATAGTTGATACATTATGCTAGGATTTAAAGGGCTCTGGCAAACAAAGGTGAATGTTTTAAAATATATAATGCTGCCCTAAATGAGCCCTATAATTTAAAATATTTTTAGATATATAAAAGTTCTAGCATCTAAAATAATTATTCAGAACACATTTCCTTCCCAGTCAGTAGATTTGGCAACCAGATTTCCTGGGTATTAATAAAATTAACTGTGGAAAATTAAATCAACATCTCAGTCTATAATTAAGTTTACTGAACAGAAGTATTATTAGATACCAAAAATTAAACATATGGAAGCAAAGTATAAAAATTAGTATAAAGAAACTTTAAAATATTATGACTAATTCTCCATGGCATCAATATCACAATCATTGTAATTTGAAAATCAAAGCTTAATATATACTAAAGTCCTTACTTAGATAAAGACAAAAATGTATACCAAAACACTAGAAAAACAACAAGTTCAAATAGCTGGACATGAGATGGAGTTTTATTTTTACAACACACAAAGTTCACCCTCTTTAGTACTTGCGTAGAGAAGTTGCAGTTGAATTTTCTCTCTACATAAAGTGCTAAAACAGAATTCATCTTAACTTCAACCACTGGAAAGACTCAGTTACATCTTCAGGAGATGCTCTGGGTTTCCTAAGTTTGCAGAATGTCACACTTGCACATGGGGCATGTCCTATGGGCTAAAAGCCAAGGGTCGATGCACGCCTTGTGGAAAATATGTTTGCATGTTAAAATACGTACTACATCTTGAGGCTTGTAAATGTCGAAGCAAACAACACAATTGTCTTCATCTGGCTCTAGCTCCTTGTCCCCTTCTCGGAGCACTCGCAGCTGAAGCTTCCCAATGGCTTTCTGCACATCCGCCTTTAGCTGCCTTCGCCTCCTGGTGGAGGAGTTGGGCCCTCGCGGGCTCCAGGCACAATACAGGAACAGATAGGCCACGGTGGCAGTCAGGAAGGTGAACAGAGACATGACGTAATGGCTCAGCCAGGGCATATGCATCCTGCCCACTTCAATGATGATCTTCACATAGACTCCTTTATGAATCAACTGCAACAGTTCCATGCCTTTCAGGTTGCCTATCATCACGGCAACTATATTTTCTGTTCCCTGGTGAGACATGGGGAATACCTTGTTGCCTGTACCTGGGTAGTTATAGATGATCACCCCGTTTGCTCCCTTCCCTGCAGCCACGTTGATTTTGTGTGTGAAGGTACAGCCACCCCGTTCAATGAGGGCCAGCCAAGGGTCTGCTTGCCCAGGCCTGCTGAAGTTGGTCATAGGGTTACAAGCATTCTGATTCCATCCTTCGGGAAGTACCACCACACCAGACACCCTTTCCAGAGGAGAATGATTCCCGAACACTCCACTCTCTCCCAATTCTGATATGAGGCGATTTCCTACCTGAAAGGTTATATTCAGGTGGGCTGTCCAAATGGCTTTTCCTTTTGAGTCAGGAAGGCTTAGCAGTAGAAAGATGCCAAGCCTCCACAGTCGAGATGAAGCAGAAATGTGAGCTGAAGAAGTAATTCTAAGTAGGCTCATTCCTTCACTTGCCTATTAACAGACAAACGTGAAAAATACAACAGCATCCGTTGTAGAAGAAAGTAAGGAAGTGAGCTTCAAAGGTTGGCAGGAGATAAATAAAGCACAGGAATGGAAAAGGTCTGCATGGATCAAAGATATCTTGCTCCTTCCGGCATTTTTATTTTTGGTAGATTATCTTTCTCATAATGAAACAGAATAACAGGATTTGTTATTAGCACAATGTGATTTCAAGAAAACTGTGACTTCCTAATGGGGGAAATTGTGACATCAGAGCCAGTTAAGCCAATCCGAGAGTTTATATGAATGCACTCCATACTGAAATCCTATTGGCCAAAAAGTTAGGCAGCCATGACTCATAACATATGCTAATGTGAATAAACTCTAAAGCAAAAAACAGATAATTTTTTAAATACCTGAGTTTCTTTCCTAGTTCTGGATAGACTGAAAAGCTGCCTAAACACTTTTTCCTCCTTGTTTTCCCATCTGTGAGGCAAAATAGAAATCATTCATATACAAGTGCATGTTTCTGGCCAGTCATCAGTTCTCAGGTATGGTTTCATGCTACCCAATATGCCAGTCAGTCCACGGGAAGTGGAAACGAATCATTCCCTCTGTCTTCCAACATTAAATGCTCATCCCAGGTCTAAAGATTCAACATGAGGGGAATGTAAACTGACATTTATCAACACTGACAAAATGAAGCCTTACCAAGAAGACGGTTATCATCGTATCAGAGGCTGTTTGTTAAACATGCAATTATTTAACAACTGAAGACAGGATTTTAAAAACAATGCAATTTAGCTGGCTAAAGATCAGCTGTTGATCTTGAAAGCTGAAGGAATTTAAGCAGTAACTATATTTTAGCTCAAAACATCTCAAATCTAAAGGCTCTTCACATGGTTGAAAAGACCAATTTGAAAAACTTAGTATTAATAATTCATTGTGTCTCTCATTGAACGATGAATTGCTCAGGCAAAGAACGGCAGCCAGAACTTCCCCCCTCTCTTAGGGCAAACGCACCTGTAAGAAAACAATTTTTTACCCCCAACATAGCAGTTCTCAAGTGGGGGATAATTTTGTCTCCCAAGAAATATTTGGCTGTTTCTGGAGACACTCTCGATTGTCACAGTGGGAGAGAACTAGGGCGATACTGCTGGATATTCTACCGTGCACAAAACAGCTCTGAGCACGAAGTAATTACCAGACCCAAAATGTGGATAACAGCCTTGGGAGGGAGGACTCATCCCCAAATTCACCTGTCCCCGAGAAATCAGGTCTGAGCTCTTATCATGAAGTTTATAATTGGCAATACATCCAATGAGGAGTCCCCAGCCTGTCTCCATTTCCTGATCTCTTTGAGATAGAAACAATAGACACTTGCACAAGTGCCTATGATCCCACGAAGCCTGCTTCAAAACTGCATCCATTTTATCAGGACCATATGCAGGGGTCTTCTATCCTGGGGCCAGG